TCAGTTGAAGAGTCAAGCCAAAAATGGAGGGAGTTATGAAATGGAATTGCTTCTTCCCTTGGTGACTCTGTTCTGAAGCCTGACAGAAGGACTATGGCCTGCTGGAGTATCCATTTCTGAACTTCAATCAAATGGGTATAAAACAAATTTTACAACTACTTTGTTCCTAACAACAATTTCAGTAACTTGGAAAGCAGCAGCATAATTTCTAAAGCATCTAAATTTGAGAAATTGGCTAAAATCTTTATTAATCAGTACAGTAAAGTAACTGCAAATGACTCTTGTCCCTTGGAGTACAGCGCAGTCTCTCTTTATGTCCAAAGACACTAATGATATCAGTGTCTTCCTTGGATTGAGGACTAACTAGTTTTTAAGGGATTAAAATATCCTGTTACCTTGCCAACATGAAAAATCTGTTTAAATGTTCATGCACAGTAATTCAGGAAAAACTAAGAAGGAACTGCATTGATTTACAATGAATTCACCGTCTTACTGAAATATCTGCCCTTGGAAATTGAGCTTTATCTTTAGTCTGTTTCCACCACACTGTTGTTGGTTGTTGCGAAAATCTAAACTATAGAGGGGAAGAAACCAATTTGATGGCCACTTGCCTTAATTTTTAACTCTTCCTAAAACAAGCTCATTGGGTAGCTGACTCTGGTTAGTCTACAACCTTCAAACTAGGGTAGCAAGATCACTTCATTTTATACCTATTTCAGCCTAACCTCCATTGCCATAGAGTTAGCAAAAAAGCATTTTCCTCTGCAGGGTCCTACCGTTTGCTCCCTGGGTAGCAACAGAGTAAATAAGACCATCTCTTTTCAATTGCATGAATCCATTGCAGTCTGCAAGCAGTGGCCAAACATCAGTTTTGTTTTTTTTTGTCTCTTTGACACAAAGACAGATGTGTTTCTTCAAGTGCAGTCTGGGGGAAAAGGGGGAAGTAAATTGGCTATTTAATAATAATAAAAAAAAAAAATCAACCATAACTCAGGCCAATAACTTCCTTGACTGGAATCATGGGAAGTGGTAGCCCTAAGTCCTATAGAACGTGCTGTGTTTAGCTCTTTGAAAGCTCATCCCTAAATGGGAAGGTAAGTAGTAAAGTCATTAACATAAAGCATTTATATTGAAGATATATTCTACCTTTCTATCACAGGCTATCATTCCACATCTTTCTATGCACAAATATGACATAGATTTAGTGGGACACAGTCACCCTGAAGCTGTACTCTGTAACAGTTGATTATTATCCATTCCAAATGTAAAACAGGTTCAGCATCTCTGACTTCATTAGAGGGAGACAAGAGGCTCAGTAATACTCTGTTCCTCTAGCTCCTTCCAGTAATTGAATTCATAAGGGGAAAGTTTTATGGCCAGAATCCCTGCCACAACCAAAGCAAAATTATTTAAGGAAGTAAAAGCAGCATTCTGAAAATACAGCCCAAAACATTAAAAAAGAAAGAGAAGGGATCTGTAATCGGATGGATAACCATCAAAGGCAAGCTTTAAAAACAGGCCTTTTTTACATAGTAAAGTTAGTGGGGCTGCTGTGACCCAGACTGCAGCTTGCACTGGAAAAGCATAGTCTAGTGAGTTGAGCTGAGTCCTAGAAAAGCCAGAGTCCTAGGCCTGGTTTAGACACTGGCTCACTCTCACTGGGCTTAGGCAAATTATTTACCCTCTCTGCCTCCCGCTGTCTTTGTGTCAGGGTGTGGGTGCAGAAACCAGAGATCTTTCTCCATTTTGGAAGGCAGGGATCTGAAGTGCAGGAGTCAGATCAGGCTCTGGCTGATGTGTTAGTGATCAAATGGTTAAAATAAAATTATTGTTCAAGCTCTTTTGCTTCAATGCAATGAATAACATCCAGTGTCCCCAGCTACCTGTGGGCATTTCTCAATGCTAAATAGCAGTATTCTGTTTTTAGAGAATAAAGTAGACTGTGCTGGGAAACTGGAGCCATCAAGGTGAAACCAGAAGAAATAGTAAAGAAGAGGGACACATGCACTCTTTGGTATCTGGGGTAATGGCCAGCATGAGGGATGGAGTGAAGGTTTATTAGAGGAAATTAATAAAGTTCTAGTAAGGCACATGTACCTTTATACTCTCTGCTATCCAGCAAAGGAACCCATTCTAAGCTTCTGGGGGCTTGACTGTCACCTCTTCTGGGCAGAGACCTCTTTATGTCTCTCCTTCCTGACCCTGGGGTATTTCCAGACCACAGGTCCCAGACTACACGATGGTGTTCTCAGCAAGCCAGACTGCATAAACAGGCCAATATCTGAGCTTTTGCTTTCTCTTCAGGGGCTGTGAATAGCTGTAGTTGCCCACAGTTACAAATTACCACACAGCTCTTTCAAAGCAAGCATGCTCATTCTTAAGGTGAGAGCATTCCAGAGAAAACCTATTAAAAACAAGAAATGAAATGACAGGCAAGCTACTAAGCTTACTGGTGGTCATCCCAACTCCAGCCTCAGGTTTGGGCAGGTGTCAGTCTTTCCAGCCTTTTGTGAGCTGTCTGTGGGGCACCGCACCCGCATTTGCTGGATCAGAAAGATGGCCCTGAGTCAGGCTAATTATCCAAAAATCCTTCCTTTGGGTGTTTCGTCTTTGGAGGCTCCCAGTTTGAACCAGTATATACAAGCCTTTCCATGTGGTGGTACTTCTCTGGAACTGTTACCACCTGAGTGAATGTGCCTAATCACACCCCTCCCCAGTTGTTCTTGGTTCCTGGAGGGCTGTAGCTACCCACTCTCCTGGAGTTACACACACTCCTTGTCCTGTAATAATATGTAAACTTAATACAGTAAAATCTCCCAAAGATATCGCAGGAAATTGCCATATCTCTCTCACAGCACATATATGTTGCTGCTGCTTTTTACAGATTCTTATAATAGGAATTTTTTACCCTTCTCTCTAGCCTAGCAGTCAGCTAATTTATGCCTTCTCTGTCCCATTCCCACACCGCCGCCCCACCCTTTATTAAGCTGGAAGTTGAAGCTGGACACAGTCAGACTAGAAATAAGGCACAAATTTTGAACGGTGATGGTAATTAATCATTGGAGCAACTTACCAAGGCTTGGGTTGGTTCTCCATCACTGGAAATCTACAAATCCAGATTGGATACCTTTCTAAAGGATATGTTCTAATTCAGCCACAGCTACTGGACTTGAAGACCAGCATCATCAAGTGAGCTCTGGATGGAACAGTTATTTCTAGATTTATCTTGCAAACAGGAGAAAATGGTAAGGTGGTTTTGACGAGAAAGACTTCTTTTTCCTTTATTCTTCTGGAAGGTCTCAAGATGAAGATACTGGTTAACTTAACTCTCTATTTTCAACATGAATTTTAGAGGTCCTTTGGGGTCCATCTATGTTAAGTGAAGTAGAATAATAAAACAAAACATAACTTGGTTTTGTTACTGTGAAGAACAGTGAGGTTGCAGGGGCTGATAACTTTATTGAACAGAAATGAGTTTATGGGCCAAAGATCTAAAGTGTTCCCAAGTCATTTTCTTTTGAGGGAGATTTAAAGGAAGAGAAGGGGAGGGTGAAGTTGGTAATCTACTTTGTAGTTGAAATCCTGGTCCCATTAGAATCATCTGTGAACTCTCATTGACTTTAATAGAGCCAGGATTTTGCCCTGAACCTGTGAAAACTTCAACAGCTCCAAAAACAATATGACTTTTTTTTTTTAGGATTGGGAACTGGAAAATCAATGGATCTTAGGGTGTTGGTTGGTCTATTGTTATTTATTGAGGGAGATAAATTCTTGATCAATGTATAGAGTTTAGCATTAATAGCTGAATTTAGAAAATAGCTTGGAAATTCCTAAGGAATTAACTATATATGATTCAACACTGATGAAATAAAAATCAAACCTGAGCTCTTATCAGTAGTTTATTTGTTCTCTTGCCACTGTACAGATAGACTGCACAGAAGATGAAGCCTTAGACCGTGAAACTCCTAAGAGTGTAATAGATTCTATGTAACCAGGATTATGAGCTTGTTAATATTCTGTACTTAATGTAACATTTGAGAGTTAATATCGGTCTCATACAGTGGATCAAATTTTTCCCTGATTTATATAATCACAATTATATTAGTGACTTTAGTAGGCTTGTATATGCTGTAACTCAGACAGTCATAATACAGCAAACTTTCTCAAGATCAAACGCACACACCAAAAAATATAAGTAAACAGGTCTGGGTCGGCGCTGCGAATAGAACCTAGTGCTGCTAAGTTCCAGTCCAGCGTCTTCATCACATCCTTCCTCATTCATAATACTTTAAGCACCTGCATTTTGTGGGGAAAATAGCTGTTATCCTTGCTGTTGAAACTGACCCCATCTCATTCTGCAGCAAAATCTATGCACTATATGCAAGAGCTGTAACACAAGAGGCCTACAGCCCCGTATCCTGTAAGACTTGGCTTAAGCTAAAGCATTTACATATGCCAGGCTGTGACACTTGACCCAGATAATGGACTAGGCCAATCTCTAACTAGAAAAGAACCAAAGGGCCTCCGGAAAAGTCCCTAGCTGTCCATTATATGCACCCTCCACCCCGCAAAAGTCTCTAGTCAAAATGCTGCCACAGCAAACTGCAGATCTTGATAAGATTTTGATAATAACACGGTGTGTCAGCACGGTGCTAGGTATGAAACTGCCCTTCCATTAATTCCTTATAAGGCTTTATTAATAATGCTTGCTTGGTAAGGAAATGTATCATTTGGCTTGAATTTGTACCTATATAAGTCTGGTATTCTAGGGGCAGGGCAGGGCAGAGAGAGACCAGGGTGGCACCTACGTGTGACCATCTCTGTCTCCTTCTCCCTGCATGCTTGTATTCAATAAAGGACCTCAGACAGTTTGAACCAAACAGATGGTGTGACTCGTTTTCCACAACAATTTATTTGAATATTTAGTCATATCAATAACTAAAGGTGTGAATATTTGGAGCATTGCATGGTCAAATGAATCCATATGTTTGTTTAAATAGGGATATACATATATCTCCCATTCATCGGAGTGAACTTCTACAGACAGGGCCCAGAGATGGTTCCGAAGGCCGACTCTAAGTATCCCGACTGGCTTTTCCAGGTGCACCTCAGCCCCTCCAAGAAACTGGAGGAGCTGGACCCCGAGATGCCCCAGTACTGGAGGCTCCTGCGGAAGCACAACATCTGGTGCTGCAACAACCTGAGCAAGAGCAAGAAGTTTTAGGGTGGGACCTGTATGGCAACACCCCTGCAGTTGCTGTGGCCCTGGGCCGGGGAAGGATGCTGCACAAGGGCTCAAGGTGGGATTTGGACATGTCCTGTGAGACTGGAAACAGATGCAGCTGGGTGGGTCCCCTGAGCTGGGATCAGCTGGCACCTCCGCCCGGCCAGGGTCTCTTATTTTTACTTTGAATAGTGAAGACGACAAATCATGGCTGTAATGGGGGGGTGGGGGAACATGGATGTACCACCTTTATCCTGTAGTTAAGACACATGTTGAAGACAAGAGTGATTTTACAGCATTTTTTATAATTTAAAATTCATCTTCCGGCTAGATTTTTGCAATATTATCACTTGATATCTCTTTTCCTATAATCTTAGGGCATCAGGTTATTCCTCGGTCATTTATTTGTGTCAGCATTTCTTGTCTCCAAGGCCTTGCGTTTCTTGCATTGTCTTACTTGTATCTAATACATGATTCCTCTACTGATCTATCTTATACTTCTATAATCTTACAAATTAACTCTATTTAACATAAATTAATATATACAATATAACATATTGATTAATCATATCACACCATAAATGGATAATAAAGTAGAATCATTGGCTACACACTTAAGAAAAATCACAACAGTAAGTGATTTACAAGTGATCTAATACTTTTCATAATATTTAAATTTGGTATTTTATGGTTTGGAAAACAGCCATTTATCTTTCTATTTTAAAAAAAACCCTGTTAATTTTCACATCACTCTAAAATTGAGAATCTGACCTTACTAAATCGCTTGTCCAGTTTAAGGCTGAATTACCAACCACGAGGATGAATGAAATCTCTAGGTAGAATTATAACCTACTGAGATAAATTTTGCATACGCTGAATTATGAAATCAAGGGGTATCAAGGGGTATCACTCATGCATTATGGCTAATGTTACACCATTTACCAAAAGTGTGATTCTACTATAAAAAGTGACTATGTATATAAGAAAAAGTACTTTCTTTCTTAATAGACCTGCTCCCAGTTGGATTCAATCAAATCTGCTGATTTTAGTGATAAAGTAAGTTTACTGCTTTTTATTCCAGTCAGCGTTGTCGAACCAACATACATAGCCTAGAGCAGAGGTGGCCAACCTATGGCTCTGGAGCCGCATGCGGTGCTTCAGACGTTAATATGCGGCTCCTTAGCTAGGCACTGATTCCAGGGCTGGATATCTAGATGCTAACTTTCCAATGTACCGGGGGGTGCTCACTGCTCAACCACCTGCTCTGCCCCAAGCCCTGTCCCCATTCTACCTCTTCCCCCAAGGCCCCTGCCCCTTCCCCTGAGCCTGCTATGCCCTTGCTCCTCCCCTCTTCCCCCCCATAGCCTCCTGCGCATGTGAAACAGCTGATTGCGGGGGGAAGGGGGAATAGGCCCTGATTGTTGGGGGCTGCCAGGAGGCAGGAGGCACTAGGGAGTGGCTGCGGGGCTCCTGACGTATTCCTGTGGCTCTTTGGCAATGTGCACTGGTAAATTCTGTCTCCTTCTCAGGCTCAGGTTGGCCACCCCTGGCCTAGAGAGAGAGATGTATTCTGAGTTCAGTTATGTTATCTAATCTTTCTTGTGCACATAAGCTTTTGTTGACATGTTCTAAGTCCTTTTCTGTAACCCTGGATATTAACCTGTGGTATGAGAAATGTTAACACTGATGAGCAAAACATACATATTTTTATAAAAAGGGATAACAAAGAAAAAGACCAACCAGGTGTGGCTTTCCATGTAGGAAGAGAAGAAGTGGGAAAGAATTGCAAAAATTTTTAGCTTCAATACTACATCATGGTAAGTCCTTTTAATTAACAGTGTGCCCTGGATTTAGATAAAGAACTGCAACTGCAAAATTTGAATGTCCAGTTTGAAATGTGAGAGAACCGCAAAAAAGTCAGATCCATGTTGTGAAAGTTAAAAATGGCATCACCAAAGGGGTTGTGTTTAGCTACGATATTAAACAGCAATCCATGCACAGCCCTATTAAAGAGGGGGCTAATTCTCATATCCTCTCCATTTCCCTTAACTGGGGATATTTTTTTTTCTTAAAAAAAAATTGCATAATAACTTTGACCACATTAGCAACTATGGTCTGTCTCCTCGAGCCGTGTTTTGGTTGAATTTACCTTTTATATAACCAAGATGTAACTGTTCCAGTTTTTACCACTAAAAAGGCATGTACATCATAAATTCCTTTATTCCTTGTTTGTTTTGCCAGTGGGAGTAGCCATGGTTTTCCTTATCTCTTTTCTGCATGTCTCCTGTCTTCTCTTCTCTAATAAAAACACACACATGTACATACTTTGATATATAATTTTTTTTGTTCTGTTTCTCGCCATTTCTAAAATCTGGAGTGTATTTGTTGCTCTTGGAAGAAAGAGACTAAAGCCTGGGTGCAGCAAAGCAGCCCTTTAAGCACATGAACAGTTCCATTAACTACAATAAAACTACTCAGGTACTTAATTTAAGGGTGTTCTTAGGTAATTTAGTGGATTGGGACCTAATGCTACTGGTCAGAGCCAAACATGGTGTTCTAGTCCTCATGCCTGCTTCTCAAAAACACCCTTGCCACAGCGCTTTAGCCCTAACCCACACAACCTCTACTTCTCAAATGGTGGGCTTTTCTTGCTAGAAGTTGCTGTTTATATGATGGCACAGTGAGATGGATATCAAATAGAAATTAGGATTAGACCAGTAAACTCCTTTTAGGTGATGCTGGGGTTTCCTCTGGAATACTTTCCCCTCAGTGTGGTCTTGAGTCCATAACTCTAGATAAACGTTTAGCATTTTAACTTACTCTGAAACCTAATCCCTTTTGAAATACAGTAAATAAAAGGAAAGGAACTTTTGCTCACCTCCCAGGATTCTCCTGAACAGTCTGGCTGAAATTTCAAACTTTTGTGCCTAAAGTTAGACCCTTAAATCCGTATTTAAGGGCCTGGTCCAGAACCATTGAAGTCAATGGGACTTTTTGCCATTCACTTCAGTAGCAGCAGGATCCGAGCTTAAATACAGGCACTTTTTAAGGTGTCTAAATATGGATTAAACCACGGGTCAGCAACCTATGGCACACGTGCCAAAGTTGGCACACGAGCTGATTTTCAGTGGCACTCAAATTGCCCGGGTCCTGGCCACCAGTCTGGGGGACTCTGCATTTTAATTTAATTTTAAATGAAGCTCTTAAACATTTTAAAAACCTTATTTACTTTACATACAACCATAGTTTAGTTATAGATTATAGACTTATAGAAAGAGACCTTCTAAAAACGTTAAAATGCATTACCGGCACGCAAAATCTTAAATTAGAGTGGATAAAGGAAGACTCGGCCCACCACTTCTGAAAGGTTGCTGACCCCTGGATTAAACTTTAGGCGCCCAAATTCAAATGTTTGCCTCTTTGCTTTCGGTGTGGCAGTATCACGTTTCATGCGCTGTCAATTGTCAGTTTTGTTAGAGATTGCACAACACTTTAACTTTGAAGGTGCTCCGCTTAGGGCTTGTCGAGACGAACGCTCAGTTTGTGGCAGGCTGGAGTGTAAATCCACCTCACACTTGTCTGCCAAGCACTAACTGTCCGTGTTTGACCCTGTTGCCATCCACTAAAAGTTCCTAGTGTACTTTAATCTACTCTGGTTTCAATGTAGGGCAGATCAAAGTGCACTGGGGAACTTCTAGCGTACGGCAGCAGGGTCCACATGGAGAGCTACTGTACGGCAAGCTAGCGGGAGGTAGATTTACACCTTAGCCTGCTGAAAGCTAAATGTTCATATAGACAAAGCCATAAGTATGAGTCTGGTCAGGCTTCTGGCAAGACTTAGATGCGGAAGCGGTCTAAGGTATGAGCTTTGTCTGTTTTTAAGTTGTAGAAGTGATAACTGTATGTATTTACTACAGCCTGGTCTACACTACAGAGTTAGGTCGAAGTCGACATGTTATTGTATGTGTCTACACTACCAGGTCCATTACGTTGATCTAAGTCGCCTCTGATGTCAACTTCTGTAATCTGCCTCTGCGAGAGGCGGAGTGCTTAGTTCGATTTTCGTGGGCCGACTGCGAGGTAGTGCAGATGCACTGTTGTGTAATTTGACTTAATTGGCCTCCAGGTGTCCCACAATGCTCATCTGTGACTGCTCTGGAGATCATTCTCAACTCTGCTGCACTGCAGCCAGGTACACAGGAAACAGTCCCACCCCTGCTAAAGCCCCAGGAACTTCTGAATTACCATTTCCTGTTTGATCAGCATTGGCAGTGTGCCAACTTGAGCACAGCTAATAATGGAGACTACACGCCCCAAACGCACTCCAGCCTGGTCTGCGCAGGAAATGATGGATCTCCTCACTGTGTGGGGAGAAGAGTCTGTGCTGGCAGAGCTCTGATCCAGCAGAAGAAATGCTGACATCTATGCAAAGATCGCTTGTGGAATGGGGGAGAAGGGACACACAGCAGTGCCGTGTGAAAATAAAGAACTTTGCCAGGCGTACCAGAAGGCAAGAGAGGCAAACAGTCATTCAGGTTCTGAACCTCACACGTGCTGGTTCTACAAGAAGCTGCATGTGACTCTCGGGGGTGACCCTACCAGCACCCCCACAAGCAACGTGGACACCTCACAGGTGTGTAAGTCTAGGGACAACAAGGAGGATTATATGGTGGATGAGGAAGAGGAGGATAATGGGAAACAGGCAAGCAGTGGATCCATTCTCCCCGAGAGCCAGGAAATATTTTTAACTCTGGAGGCCTGTGGGTTGCAGAACAGCACGGTATCCAACCGTGATGCCGGGGAAGGCACTTCTGGTGATATACATTTAAAATGAAAGTCCAGTTAAACTTCAGCGGGCACACCCATTCCGTGGTATGGCATGTTTACTGTGAAGAAAAGTGAGGTGCTGTGGCTCTCTGCTTACAAGAGGCCGCTCCAGCTACGCAGGGGGTGGCCTCCGGAAAAGACTGTTTGAGGACTGGGATAGCCAGGGAATCCTCCATGGATGTCTCTAGGAAACTTTCATGGAGGTACTCTGCAATCCTTTGCAGGAGGTTTCTGGGCAGGGCAGTCTTATTTCTTCCACCACGGTAGGACACTTTCCCACTCAGCTCCTGAATTAATTCTGCTGGCATCATTGCAATACACAGCATAGCAGCCTAAGGACTGGGTCTAATCCCAGATGCTTGCAGCATCTCCTTCCTTTCCGTCTCTGTTACCCTCAGGAGACTGATATCACATAGGGTTGCCGAGGGGAAACAGGGGAAGTTCTCATTAAAAGTGCTCTTACGTGGGGGGAAAAAAGGGCATGACACCCCCCCACACACATACTCCGTTCCAGATCGCCAAACCATGTGGCCGATAATGTGCTTTTACTGTGCTTGTCATAGGTCAGCAAGTAGTTTAAAGTGGCTGATAGGGACTGGGGCCCCACATGAGAGATTCCGCAATTTGGGAGTGAAAACGTTCCCTCCCCGCCTTGTTTGTAAACAGCTTCCCCTGCTGCTATGGGAAAGGGCCATTGTTCAACTAGCTACCTCTGCTCCTGACAGGAGCCTGCCATAAACTTTATTAAAAGTGCGGTCACCCAGGACCCAGGGGGGCCTAGTTACCATGGCTGGAGCAGTAAAATGGCACAGTGAACGGTTACAGATTCTGATTACACTGATTACATAACACAATAAGAAAGTTTTTGTTTTGTTTTTTATGAAAATGGCCTTGCTATGGAAACATTTTTCTCATGTACAATGGCTCCTTTATTTTTCCCCCTGACTGACAGCTGGAAATGTGTCCTTCAGAGTGTCATCAAAACCTGAAAGCAGACTTTCACTGATTGGGAGGAGAAAAAGAACGCAGGAGGACATGCTCACCGAGATAACGAAAGCCTCCAGGACAACTGACACAGAGCTGAGAGTGTGGAGGATTTCACTGTTCAAGAAGTTAGACATGGTGTCAAGGTTCCTTCCCCATTCTGAACTCTTGGGTACAGATGTGGGGACCTGCATAAAAGACCCCCTAAGCTTATTCTTACCAGCTTAGGTTAAAAACTTCCCTAAGGTACAAACTTTGCCTTGTCCTTGAACAGTATACTACCACCACCAAGCGATTTAAACAAAGAACAGGGAAAGAGACCACTTGGAGACATCTTCCCCCAAAATATCCCCCCAAGCCCTATACCCCCTTTCCTGGGGAAGGCTTGATAATAATCCTCACCAATTGGTACATGTGAACACAGACCCAAACCTTTGCATCTTAAGAACAATGAAAAATCAATCAGGTTCTTAAAAGAAAAATTTTATTTAAAGAAAAGGTAAAAGAATCACCTCTGTAAAATCAGGATGGTAAATACTTTACAGTGTAATCAGATTCAAAACATAGGGACTCCCTTTAAGCAAAACCTTGAGTTACAAAAAGACACCAAAACAGGAATACACATTCCCTCCAGCACAGCGAATTTTACAAGCCATTAAACAAAAGAAAATCCAACGCATTTTCTAGCTAGATTACTTACTAACTTTCCAGGAGCTGGAAGGCTTGCATCCTTAATCTGTTCCTGGCAAAGGTCTCACACAGACACACAAAACCCTTTGTCCCCCACCCTCCAGATTTGAAAGTATCTTGTCCCTTCATTGGTCATTTTGGGTCAGGTGCCAGCAAGGTTACCTTAGCTTCTTAACCCTTTGGGGTGAAAGGGTTTTGCCTCTGGCCAAAAGGGATTCTGTATACTGTATACAGAAAGGTGGTTACCCTTCCCTTTATATTTATGACACATAGACATGGAGAGCAGGAAAGCTTCCAATGACCGAAAGCGTGCAGTGCAGGATGAGATGCTTCCCATTATGAGGGACCAAGCAGACATGTTGAGGCATCTGGTTGAACTGCAGGAACAGAAGCAGGAGAGTAAAGTCCCTCTGCAGACCCTGGTGGACAGCCAGCCAGCATCGCCTGGTGCAGAATTACCCTCCCACAAGCGATCCCTGAGGCATGGGTGAAAAGTGAAAGCTCTGTACAAAGTTCATGGAAGGTGGCTTTCCGCATCTTAAAGTTCTGCAGCCACTGCTCGTCATCCCATACCTGCAAAACAATGCAGTCCCACCAGTCAGTGCTTGTTTCACAGGACCAGAAATGGTGCTCAACAGAGTGCAGCTGCTCTGTGACTGTCATCAGTAACTGTGAATTGTTTTTTTCCATGGCTTGGAGAATGGCTGCTTGCAGGACATCACTATGTTCCGCACGGCAGACCCTATTTCAGCTCTGGAAATACTTCAGGAGAATGCACGAGGTGTTTGAGATGCTCACAGCAAGAGTGCACAGCTGAGCAGGCT